ATATTTGGATATTGATTATAGTGTGTGCAAGCCAATATCAGGAGAGTCTAAATGTTTTGATCCCCATTTCCAACCCCGTACAGTTTGGTTGGTAATTCGGAATAGTAACTCCCAGGGGACATTACTAAATAGGACTGTGATAAGCACCATACATTCCGCGGGTATTCTACTATTTGATGCATGTAAGGCGATTTCGGGTAGTGGAAGACTTTGGAATGTATGTGGTAATCTTAAATGGGAATGAACTTATGGGTTTAATGATAAATACTTATGTCCCAGTAAAAGATCTACTGATCCTGATTGCCCAAATAGAGACTAACTTCTGCCCCTATTGGTCATGTGTAGGTTGGGCAACCTGGGAAAAACAGTGGATCAAGATATGATTATCCAAAGGTTGCCTACCACACCATACTGTAAAACTATGTGTGTAACCCCGTTCACATGACCATTTCCAATCTGCAGTACTTTATTGACAGGTTTGGAGGTCTGTTTGGGTTCAAATATATGGCACAGGAGTAGATTCAGGAACAATAATATATGTAGGTCTTGAAACTGAGACAGTGGCAACTCAAACTCATCAGGTTTCTCATTCCTTCTATGAGGAGATGAGTATTGAGGATAAAATTCCCCATAATGTTAACAACCTATTTATTGATTTGGCTGAGGGTATTGCAGGTAGTCTTAATGTAACTAATTGCTATGTGTGTGGAGGTACTAATATGGGAGACCAGTGGCCATGGGAGGCAAAGGAAATATGGTACCCTGGCTCTGAGACATATGAACAACAGATACCTTTCCAGTCTGATCATCAAGTAAGTACTAGAAGTAAATTGGAATGGTGGTTAAAAACCTCCATTATAGGTCATGTTTGTATAGCCAGGAAAGGGACAATGTATAACACGTCTGTAGGTGAGCTAACTTGCTTGGGACAAAAAGCCTATAATGTTAATACTAAAAATACTACTTGGTGGTCAGCTTCAAATGTCTCAGAACCATCTAACCCGTTTGCAAGATATGCCAATTTAAAGGACGTATGGTTTGATCTATCCATCACATCTAACTGGAAAGCCCCAGCAAATTTACACTGGATTTGTGGTAAGAAAACTTATTCGGAGTTACCACAAGATTGGGAAGGGGCATGTGTATTAGGTATGCCAAAGCCATCTTTCTTCTTGTTGCCTATTGAAACAGGTGAGACTTTAGGTGTTAAAGTGTATGATGTGAATCATAGGAAGAAAAGGGGACCCATAGAGATAGGTGCCTGGGAAGATAATGAATGGCCTCCCCAGCGTATTATAGATTATTATGGGCCAGCCACGTGGGCAGAGGATGGTACCTTTGGTTATAGAACCCCTATTTATATGCTCAACCACATTATAAGGTTACAGGCGGTGGTTGAGATCATTACTAACGAGACATCACAAGCGCTCAATCTTCTAGCGAAGCATAATACCAGGATGAGGACAGCAGTTTACCAAAATAGATTAGCCTTGGATTATCTTTTGGCAGTAGAGGGAGGTGTATGTGGGAAGTTTAACCTGAGCAATTGCTGTCTTCAAATAGATGACGAAGGGCAAGCAATAGCTGAACTTACAAGCCACATGGTTAAACTAGCGCATGTGCCTACTCAGGTATGGAAAGGGTACAATCCAAGTAGTTGGTTTGGTAGCTGGTATGAGTGGTTTGGAGGGCTTAAGGCAGTGGTAGGTGGAGTCCTACTGATTTTAATGTTGTGTCTACTCCTGCCGTGTCTTATACCCTTAGTAGTTAGGTCTGTGCAAAGCCTGATAGAAAATATAGCAGAGAGGAAGGCTGCTGCACAGATAATGGCAATTTATAAATATAAGGCTCTAGATCAGGGAGAACCAATGCAGGAAGACGAGTGTTGAAGATTCACATCATAGGATAAGTCTGGTCTGGTTCAAAGGTAACTTGTGGTGTATGCAAACCAAGGTTAAGTGATGCCTCAAGTAATTGTAAAATATCAAGAGGCATCAAAGGGGGGAATGTGGTGGAATCTCGGTAAAAATAAATTTAGTAGGCCAAAATCTCCATGTGGCATATGTGTATGTTGTGTCAGTTGGTTAGCTACATGTAGCTAGGATACTGTCAGTGTACTGAGCATGTGCAGGAATGCAGGAACTGAAATTGCACTTATTTCCTTTGTCTTGGATGGGCCATGTGGTTTGACTAGATGTACAAGTCTATATTCTGCTCATTGATTGGTTAAAGGTATATGTGGGTGTAGCTATTAATGGGAGGAGTTATGTGCCTATATAGGGAGCCTGCACTATTGTTCAGGGCTCAGAACTTGCTGTATTTTTGGTGACATTAGTCCCTCTGAGTCCCGATCGGTGATCCAATAAAGAATCTCCTCCTTCCTGAAGAAACCTGTGTCCATCTCTCTGTACTTTGCTTCCGTCAGTTTCTCCGGTATCAACCTCTTTCATATTAAATGCACCCACCCTTATTATATATCATTTTCTTTAGGGGAAACAGGGCTTTCATTTAATATCAAATATTTAGCTATGAAACATAACTTAATATGAAAAAAAATTTTAGTAGCCATTTGGTCACAAACACTGGCCAAAGTTAGCATTAGTATTTGTTTTTGTGTGAAAAATGCAAAAAATGCCAATTTTGGCCAGTGTTTGTGACTAAGTGGCTACTAAAAAAGACTGGACATACCCCGTTTGCAATACCTTGGGTTGTCTACTATTGCAAATGGTATGCCATCATAGGAGTAATTTTCATTCTTGGGCTACCATAGGGTCTCAAAGGCAACGTAACCAATCTGGCAATTTTTAATGTGAAAAAAATGAAACACAAGCCTTATATTTGAAGCTGTAATTTTTGAAAACACCATAAAACCTGTACATGAGGGGTATTGTTGTACTTGGGAGACTTCGCTGAACACAAATATTTGTGTTTCAAAACAGTAAAAAGTATCACAGCAATAATATCGTCCGTGTAAGTGCTGTTTGTGCGTGAAAAATGCAAAAAACTTCACTTTTACTGGTGATATCATTGTTGTAATTCATTTTACTGTTTTGAAACACTAATATTTGTGTTCAGCGAAGTCTCCCGAGTAGAACAGTACCCCCCATGTACAGGTTTTATGGTGTCTTGGAAAGTTATAGGGTTAAATATAGTGCTAGCAAATTAAATTCCCTTTACTTTCGGCATGGGTTGTCAGGCAGGTCCCTCTAATTGTAATTAATTAAGATACCTAATTATGTAAAAATATTACATAAATATATATGTATATATGTAGGTATACATTTAGTGATATATACGTATATATTTATGTATATAGATATATATATTATTTCGTTCTACATGTATTTTGATATAAATATATATATATATTAATATCACAATACAGTTAGAACAAAATAACACACATCTATATATTTTGTAATTATTTTTAATTATTTTTTTAATTTTATTTTTTAATGTATTTACATATTTTTTTACATTATATATAAATATATATATAACAATAATTATATATATATTTAATCAATATCAGTCTACGTATAATTTGATATTAATATATATATATAATTAAATATATATATATTAATAGTAAAATACACCTAGACAGTGTATGTGTGTGTATGTATATGTGTATATATATACTTAGATCATATATATATATATATATATATATATATGATCTAAGTATATATATATATTTTTTTTTTTTTACACTTATTTTAATTTAATTCAATTTGATTTCTAGCCAGCAGGGGGACTATCTGTCATTACAGGCAGTCCCCCTGCTGGCAATGTAGCAGCCAGCTATCCTGGCCATGTGATTGTGAGGTCCTCGCAAGGACCTCACTCTCACATGGCTGGGGGGGCTGCAGGATGGAGGATCCGCCACCGGGGGGCTCCCTGGGAGTCCAACCAACCGCGATCGCCGGCGTGAGATCGCCGGCGACCGGGTAAGTAAGAAAAACCCGGAGGGCGTACTATTACGCCCGGTGGCGTTTAGAGCCGCTTAGAATAGGGCGTAATAGTACTCCCTCCGGTCTTAAGGGGTTAATAATATATCTGTGTGGTAAACAAAGAGGGGTACACAAAGAGGGGGTGTGAGTTCGGTAATCCCGACCTGCATATGGAACATGCTTCCTCCTTGTTCACTTTTGTTCCTTGTTGGTCTGTGACTGGCCCTTTTTGACCCCAAATGAATTTCTTGGGAAGATTCATGAGAAAGATATAGCAGGTTGTTTTGACAGAAAGAAAGAGGGAAAAGGTATGTTGTATCAATCACAAGGATTGTGATCCTAAGCTGGCGAGACAAAGAAATTTGGGAGGTGATAGAAGATTGAATCAGATAAGTTTTAAAGGCAGAGGTATAGGATTTCATCAGAGGGTCTAACTTTTGTAGAGGTAGCAACTTCAGCATTGGTGGAACACACTGTTCTAATTGTGGATAGCAGGGTCCAGGGCCGCCATCAGGGCATGACAACCGTGACAATTGTCACGGGCCCGGCGGCCCTGGGGGGCCCGGCCGCCCGGGCCCCACGTGGATCAGCGGAACTGCCGCCGGTGCATCTGAACCGGGGCCCACACGCTGATGGGGCCCATCAGGTGGCCACAATCATTTAGGGCCACCCAATGGGCCCTATTATCTTCAGGGGCCCGTTTAGCGCTGTAATAGCGCGACCGGGCCCCTTTAAAAAAAAAAAATGCAGCCGGAAGCAAGTGCTGCTGGGAGGAAGTGACGTCCGGTCACTTCCTCCCACTTTACTCCGCGCGGGAAGGAGGACGCAGCATGAGGAGAGGCAGCCGATGCCCATCATCCCCAGCCACCCTCCTGCGTCGAAATGGTAAGGAAGAGAGGAGGGTGGCTGGGGATGAAGTGTATGTGTGTATGCCAGTGTATGTGTGTGTATGCTGGTGTATGAATGCTAGTGTATGTGTGTGTGTATGCTGGTGTATGAATGCCAGTGTATGTGTGTGTATGCCAGTGTCTGAATGCCAGTGTATGTGTGTCTGAATGCCAGTGTATGAATGCCAGTGTGTGTATGCCAGTGTATGTGTGTGTGTATGCTGGTGTGTGTATGCCAGTGTCTGAATGCCAGTGTCTGAATGCCAGTGTATGTGTGTGCCAGTGTGTGTATGCCAGTGTATGTGTGTATGAATGCCAGTGTGTGTATGCCAGTGTATGTGTGTGTGTATGCTGGTGTATGAATGCCAGTGTATGTGTGTGTATGCCCGTGTCTGAATGCCAGTGTGTGTCTGAATGCCAGTGTATGAATGCCAGTGTGTGTATGCCAGTGTATGTGTGTGTGTATGCTGGTGTATGAATGCCAGTGTATGTGTGTCTGAATGCCAGTGTATGAATGCCAGTGTGTGTATGCCAGTGTATGTGTGTGTGTATGCTGGTGTATGAATGCCAGTGTATGTGTGTGTATGCCAGTGTATGAATGCCAGTGTATGTGTGTGTATGCCAGTGTATGAATGCCAGTGTGTGTATGCCAGTGTATATGTGTGTGTATGCTGGTGTATGAATGCCAGTGTATGTGTGTGTATGCCAGTGTCTGAATGCCAGTGTATGTGTGTCTGAATGCCAGTGTCTGAATGCCAGTGTGTGTATGCCAGTGTGTGTGTATGAATGCCAGTGTGTGTATGCCAGTGTATGTGTGTGTGTATGCTGGTGTATGAATGCCAGTGTATGTGTGTGTATGCTGGTGTATGAATGCCAGTGTATGTGTGTGTATGCCAGTGTATGTGTGTGTGTATGCTGGTGTATGAATGCCAGTGTATGTGTGTGTATGCCAGTGTCTGAATGCCAGTGTATGTGTGTGTGTATGCCAGTGTCTGAATGCCAGTGTATGAATGCCAGTGTATGTGTATGTATGCCATTGTGTATGCCAGTGTATGTGTGTGCCAGTGTGTATGCCAGTGTGTGTATGCCAGTGTATGTGTGTATGAATGCCAGTGTATGTGTGTATGTATGCCAGTGTGTGTGTGTGTATGCCAGTGTGTGTATGCCAGTGCATGTGTATGTATGCCAGTGTATGTGTGTGTGTATGTATGCCAGTGCGTGTATGCCAGTGTGTGTCTGTATGCATGCCTGTGTGTGTCTGTATGTATGTATGTATGCCTGTCGGTATGTATGTATATATCAATATGCAGTATGTATATGTATGTTTGTCAGTATGTATGTCTGCTTGTATATGTGTGTGTGTGTCTCAGCATCTCCCTATGCATGTGTGTATGTCTGTTTCAGTATTTGTATCTGTTAGTGTGTGTGTATTCCTGTGGGCGGGATTTGGAGGCAGGCTTGAAGGGGGGCCCAGACCTTGAGCTGTGTTAGGGGCCCCAAAATTTCTGATGGCGGCCCTGGCAGGGTCACTGGAAAAATGAGTGCCCAAACCCACCCCCACAGATTCCTCAATACCAACCACAGTTTCCAACCTATACCACACCCAATAAGCCCAGCCTAATACACAGATGGTTCATGTTTTTTATATTTTATATAGTTCTAGGTGTTAATCCAAGAGTATTGAATTATTCAGGATTATTAAAGTAATTAATTTTGAGTATCAAATCAAGGTTCACGTTTAGGAACAGAGTTTTATTGGGAATATATATGTATATGTTAGTGTTTTAATATTCATCCTAACAAGCATTTCTATAGAGTGAGTGCTTCTCTCATGCGTACAAAGGCATTCCAAAGGGGTATTATGTAAAACTTAGAAGACAGATTGCATAAAATATAAGCAAATATAAGAGAAGTACATGTTACACAAGTTAAGGGTTTAACCTTTAGGTTTTAGCCTAGGTAATTAATTAATTGATGTTGTATTGATCCTTGTGTTTGTATGATTGTATAGACCGTCCTGGAGTGTTTGTGCCGCCTGATTTCTGGGACTACACACCAATCTCTCTGGCTGACCATGCAATAAGTATTTTGCAATTACATCTGTTTGGTCATTATCCATGCAGGCCGAAGAAACTGAGATACTTACTTATGAGGACATAAACTTTGCACGCAAGAACCTGAAAATTCCTGAAGGTGCAGTGCTGTCTAATACCGCTGGTTCTGTAATAACCCTTTCAACCATTGGGGTGTTGCACAGAGAATTGTGGTGAAAATCCAGCAAACAAAAGAAGAACTATGTGGAAGTTGACATTGTCTTGCTGTCAGCCATATTGCTACCCTTAGCCATTTTATGGAACAAAATGTCTGGTGTCTAAACTGATTTCTTTATACTCTGTGAAAGACTTATTCTATTTTTCTGAACTATGCTGAACTATTGAACTATTTTTATTTTTATTTTTGTAGAGTTAGCCGGAGAGAGAGGAAGTGTTAGCTGACTCAGGGATGGATGTACTATGTGTGTTTTGACTGGACCTTTGGAATAGGGAAATGGTTAAAAGATATAGGACGCAAGGTCCTGGTTGTGATTATTGTCAGAATTTCAAGCTAGATTATAATTTATCTCATGAATTAATATGTAAGAAGTGTTTCCCAATTCCTCCCGATACCCGAGCTATGTACTCACAGGTGCGGGTATTATAAGTCACAAGTGGTGTCAACTGTGAGGGGATGACATGTCTAACACGATCGCGGCCCCCACTCAGGTTTTCCCCAGATGTGCTTTTTCCTCAAATATGAGTTTTTGCCACTGGGTTTTTTTCGGGTGGACTGGTAATCCTAGACCCCGGTCCTTGGACGGGGGATAGGTATTATTCCCACTTTGACTATATGCGCCCACTTCCGTGGACGAAGGAGGAAAACAACTGTTGAGAATAATACACTTTGCCCATATTTACCCAGGGCTTATGATACAGAGGACCGGCTGGTTAGTCTGTTTAAAATTGGTTAACATGTCAGCTATTTGCAATCATATATTTGCTATAAGCCCAAGTTCCATTTTGTCTTAAACATCCATTTTCTATATATCTGTCTGCAAAAGTATTAAGTGGTTTTTTTTTCCTGCTGAGTTTCTGTTTCTTGTAGACCACATGATTGCTTAGGAATGCCATAATGTGGAAATTTATCTGTCCTTGGAGAATGTTAACTGATAATATGAGCAAGTGTTTGCTCAATGAGGGGAATGTAAGAATATGAAGTAGTTAACTTTTCTTGTTCATATGTATTTTATGCTTAGATAAAGTTTATAATCATTAGTGCTGACTGTAAGGAAATGAAATAGTTAAACTCTTTTTGCTTTATATGCTTTAAAATAATGTTTGAAATAATTATGCTGACTTTGGCAGATGTATTTTGTACCAAGGTCTTCCTTCTAGAGGATGTGCGACCTTGCTCGACCTCAGGATGTTCCTGTCTTGTCTTTATTCAAATGCTTATCTTTTAATATCAGACAAGTATGTACTATTAACTACAAGCACACTATAAGTTTTGCTGCTTGCGTGACAAACTGTGTATAAATGCTATCCCTGAAAATACAATCATTTGAGAATCTTGTTAACCCCTTAACGCCGTTACGGCGTTCTATGCCGTTGCGGATTTAAAGGGCTTTAAAGCCGTTGCGGCGGCATAGAACGCCGTAATGGCTTAAGCCCCCAGGAGATCGGAGGTACTTACCTTCGCCGCAATCCTCTTCTGGAGGGCTGCCTGACAGCCCAGGCAGCCCTCCTCCGGCAAGTGAACGATCACATGGCCCCCTACAGCTGGCTGTGAATCTGCCAGCATGGGGACTGTCTGAAATATCAGACAGTCCTCCTGCTGGTGGGAAGTAATAAAAAAAAAAATTAAACGTATTTAAAAATAAATTAAAAATATTTTTATATATATCATATATGTATATATATACATATTATATATATGTAATGTCATACGTAATGTATTTTAATATTAATATAAGTATATATATTAATAAAATCCACTTAGAATGACGTTACATATATATATATTATATATATTATATATATAATAGATATATACACATATTATATAAATATATATATATATATATATATATATATATATATATACACACATATAATTACAATAATAAATAAATTAAAAAATAAAATAAATTAAATATTGAAACAAAATTTAACATAAATTATATATTCATATGTAATTTCATTCTAAGCGTATTTTGTTATTAATATATATATATATATATATTGGTAACAAAATCCACTTAGAATGACATTCTATATATATCTATCTATATATAAAATACAAATGACCGCAAATATATATATATACAGATAAATACATATAATTACATAAAAGATTACATTAGTATACACGTAAAATTTAAATACCTATAAATGCATATATATTAAAATTCTACGTGTATATTTAAGTAATCTTTTAACGTAATTATGTGATTTGATTAATTAAAATTTGATTGACATGCCTGACAACACAGGGAGAAAGTGCAGAGAATTTAATTCGCAAGCACTATATTTGACCCTGTAACTCTCCAAGACACCATAAAACCTATACATAGGGGGTACTTTTTTACTCGGGAGACTTCGCTGAACTCAAATATAAGTGTTTAAAATTGTATTACAACGATGATATTTTAAGTAAAAGTGACGTTTTTTGCATTTTTTACAAACGAACGTCACGTTTATGGACTATATTATTGTTGTAATATGTTTTACTGTTTTAAAACACTAATATTTGTGTTTAGTGAAGTCTCCCGAGAATAACACTACCCCCCCATGTACAGGTTTTATGGTGTTTTGGAAAGTTAGAGAGTCACATATAAGGCTTGCATTTCATCTTTTTGACATTGAAATCTGCCAGATTGGTTATGTTGCCTTTGAGACCGTATGGTAGCTCAGGAATAAGAATTACCCCCATGATGGCATACCATTTGCAAAAGTAGACAACCCAAGGTATTGCAAATGGGGTATGTCCAGTTATTTTTAGTAGCCACTTAGTCACAAACACTGGCCAAATATTAGTTTTTTTGCTTTTTTCAAAAACAAATATAAACGCTAACTTTGGCCAGTGTTTGTGACTAAGTGGCTACTAAAAAAGACTAAACATACCCCACGTTCAATACCTTGGGTTGTCTACTTTTTCAAATGGTATGCCATTATGGGGGTAATTCTCATTCCTGGGCTACCACACCGTCTGAAAGGTAACATTACTAATCTGGAAAATTTCAATGTGAAAATGGAACGTTCTATATTTTACCCTGTAACTTTCCAAAACACCATAAAACCTGGTAATAGGGGGTACTGTTGTACTCGCGAGACATCGATGATTACAAATATGTAAATTTTTTTGCGGTAAAACCTAACAGTATTATGACATTTACAGCTAAAATGTGAGGCGGAACTACAAATTTTTAAAGAAATTTAAAATTTCTCACAGTTTTTTAAATTTTGTTCATAATAAATTATGTTTCATATATTAATATTTGATATGAAATGAAAGCCCTGTTTCTCCCGAACAAAATGATATATAATAAGTGTGGGTTCATTTAATATGAAAGAGGTGAATTACGGTTGAACAGACATTTGGTGCAAATTCCAGTTTTTATTTATGTTTTGTTTTGATCAGAACGTGCACTATTGACTTCGTCCTG